CCAGAGTATTTCATGTTAATTTCTCTACCATAAGCCGCCTCCAATGTCATTTTAGAGAATTTGGCAGTACGTCCAACTGGCCTCAACTGCAGACCACGTGTAACCTCGCCAGCCCAGGACCTCCACACCAGGTTTGTTCACCTGCGGGATCATCTGAGACCAGCAACCCAGACAGCTGATAAAACTGTGGGTCTGCACAAACTGTCAGATACCGTCTCGGGGAAGCTAATCTGCGTGCTCGTCGTCCTCACCAGGGTCTTGACCTGACTGCTGATGTCAACGTTGTGAACAGAGTGACCCATGGTGGCGGTGTGGTTCTGGGATGGGCAGCCATAAGCTACAGACAATGAACACAATTGCATTTTATTGATGGCAATTTAAATGCACAGAGATACCGTGACTTGATCCTGAGGCCCATTGTCGTGCCATTCATCCGCCGCCACCACCTCATGTTTCAGCATGATAATGCATGGCCCCATGTCTCAAGGATCTGTACATAATTCCTGGAAGCTGAAAATGTCAGTTCTTCCATGGCCTGCATTCTCACCAGACATGTCACTGGTTGAGCATGTTGGCATGCTCTGGATCAATGCTCGCTTCGAGGCAAGTAACACTGAAACATGCATGAGAGCATCAGCTGTTCCGGACGACTGTGTGATCACGTTCTCCGTAGCCTTATGTGAGAAAGATCTTTCAACAGGTCAACATTCACAAGGCCGCAGGTCCAGACGGATTACCAGGACGTGTACTCTGAGCATGCGCTGACCAACTGGCAAGTGTCTTCACTGACATTTTCAACCTCTCCCTGTCGGAGTCTGTAATACCAACATGTTTCAAGCAGACCACCATAGTCCCTGTGCCCAATAACACTAAGGTAACCTGCCTAAATTACTACCGACCCGTAGCACTCACATCTGTAGCCATGAAGTGCTTTGAAAGGCTGGCCATGGCTCACATCAACACCATTATCCCAGAAACCCTAGACCCACTCCAATTTGCATACCGCCCCAACAGATCTACAGATGATGCAATCTCTATTGTGCTCCACACTGCCCTTTCCCACCTGGACAAAAGGAACACCTATGTGAGAATGCTATTCATTGACTACAGCTCAGCGTTCAACACCATAGTGCCCTCAAAGCTCATCACTAAGCTAAGGACCCTGGGACTAAACACCTCCCTCTGCAACTGGATCCTGGACTTCCTGACGGGCCGCCCCCAGGTGGTAGGGGTAGGTAACAACACATCTGCCACGCTGATCCTCAACACTGGGGCCCCTCAGCAGTGCCTGCTGTCCCCTCCTGTCCTCCCTGTTCACTCATGACTGCATGGCCAGGCATTACTCCCAACACCATCATTAAGTTTGCCGATGACACAACAGAGGTAGGCTTGATCACCGACAACGACGAGACTAGGTCCAAGAGGCTTCTAAACAGCTTCTACCCCCAAGTCATAAGACTCCTGAACATCTAATCAAATTTCTACCCAGACTATTTGCATTCTCAGGAGTTCAAACTCATTTTGGTGCATTTTAAATCCCTACAGGAAGCATCATAAAAGATGTTATTTATGAACTTGTTCTGATAGCCTTTTGTCAAAGTTCTCCATGTTTGTTGTCAAGGAAGTGATGTACCGCCCTCACCTACCGTCAACCAATAGGTCAATGCGGAGCTATACGGAGTCCTCCGCATTGTTACAAAATTGGGGAGGCGCACGGCAATGCAGAATGGAGCTCGATTTGGCCTCCACAAGCACGTCACACCCTCCATACGGAGCTCTCGGACTACATGTCCAGATCAAGCATAAATTGGCTTTTAGACCGCTCAAATCCACAAGCAGCTCGTTGTGTTCGGTTATTGCACACTGCCATTGGATGCAACGAGACCTGACTATAATACAACAAATCGCATGCAGCCGCATTATAAGTTCAAACACTCAAATTAGACAGATGCATGTTTGTTAATTTTGATCAAGGGATTTATGCCTATCAGTGTTCTGACATTCATGTCTTATATCGATAGAGCCTACACTTTCTGGCGCTGTTTAACTTCTTACGCAGTAGGGATAATAAGGGAGTGGTTTGTGACAAGAGCAGCCGCTCACCGATATGGCAGCTTAGTTACACCTCCAAAACATCTGCAATGCGGATGTCGGCCAACACTTGATCTGATTGAAGCCAGGCACTAATCTTTAAATTATTTATCTTTAAAAAAAAAAAAAAAATTGATTAACATCAAGACAAATAAGGCCAGCCAAAGTACATTTTTGGATGTTTATTTAACAGTTGTGCATATGTTCCACAGAAAGCACCAAGCCAACTGTTTACTTCAGCTTCTTCTTGGGGCGCAGATTGTTGGTGTGTCCGCACTTCTTCTTGCGGCAGTTGACAGCACGAGGATGGAGGCGAGCATAGCACCTGCAACAACACACGATCAGAACTGTGCAAAATGTGTGGCCAAGACTGGTCCAGCGGTCATAGCCACTACCCTAGCACTCTTTCTTCCTCACTATACAGTCTACTTAAGTTTTACTATGTACACAGCAACATTCCTGCAGTTGCTCTGAAGCATGTTGCGTTTGTCACCTCAATCTCAAATGTGGATTAATGTTTCTTACTGTAAAAGGAAACTAAAAACAGTGCAAAGAAAGGCTCCAACCTAAATTGTAAAAACCATTCATTACCACCATTAATGCAACTGTACTCAGCTCTACTTACTTGCGGCAGATCATTTTGTCACAGTTGTACTTCTGGGCCAGCTGTCTCAGAGATGGCTCGATAATGCCTCCGCGAAGACGCAGCACAAGATGCAGGGTGGACTCTGGAGGGTAACACCATCATAGTAGATAGTTAATGCAAAGTTCACAGGTATGTTTTCGCATAGGGTTGATTCTTAACTATGAGCAACATTACATGCGCCCACTGTCAACTCCTAATCTCTTACCTTTCTGGATGTTGTAGTCTGACAAGGTGCGACCATCCTCAAGTTGTTTGCCAGCGAAGATCAGACGCTGCTGATCAGGAGGAATACCTGAGAATAAACGGCATATTGATATGATCCACTATAATGAAATCACCACAGCACACAGCTAGTATCAAAGCCACCTACCCTAAGTATTTAAAACATCCATAATATAGTATGCCAAAATGAAACTTAGAACACCATACTATACCTTCCTTATCCTGGATCTTGGCCTTGACATTTTCAATAGTATCGCTGGGCTCAACCTCAAGGGTGATGGTTTTCCCCGTCAACGTCTTCACGAAAATCTGCATCTTGGCAGGCTGTTGGGAGAAAATATGGTGCGAGTTAGTGGCAGTAGCTAGCTAATTATTTTATTTTTATGTGCTTAGCATACTAGCTAGCCAAGTCAGCCAATCCCTGGCGCATGTAAAAGAAATATATATACTCAGTCATTAAAAAGTATTACGTCTTTGAAGATTAGCTGAGACAGCTAGTCACATTGCCATTTAGAATGAGCGGCCAACAATCTTGCTAGTGGCAAGCTAATTAACTAGCCAACACCTACGGCCAAGCCGGTGCTTCCAGCAAGGCCTCTTTACCACATGCTGGAACTCGTTATATTTCAATACTCATATTTACACTTTACACGTCTCACATGTGATAACCAAAAGGCTATTTAGAGACTTATATGGTAGCGGAGGAACAATGGTGTATTTCTACGACATAATACATGCGTCTTCTAGTAAATTTCATTAAAATTGTTATGGACAAAACCATGCACCCACCCGGCCGCTAGCTGAACCTCAACGAAAAGAGGCTGTACAAGGCGGAAGTTATTTTACATCATATCCTCTTCTGTATCGCACCAGTTGTTGTTTTTGGCACAAATCTGTTTAATTAATCCTAACTCTACTAACAGCTCCAAAATGTGGGCAAAATTATATTTATGATTATACAAAGTTGCAATATACTACTCTTATTACTCAATTGTATTCTCAAACGAACACAATCAATCACTAATTTGGACCAGGTGTTTAGATAATTGAATTTTACTGCCACCTGCTGGTGTGACTGAGTGAACTGTTCTGAAGAGGTCATTTCTATAACCATACCTGTCTCAGGTGTGCATTATTTTAGGATGTGTTTATAAGAACAATCTATTGTCAATGGCTGTTTTGTATATTTTCTGCTAGAAATACTGCTATTGATAGCCTATGGATAAATGTATGTATGAATGTATCAGTATAGGGAGAAATGGGGAGGACAGGTTCACTGTAATGGCTGAAAATATGCCACAGTGAAACATTAACACCATTAAAGCTGCTCCCACAGTAACTATTTGCTTGTTATTTTGGCACCATGGTGATAAGTTTAAAAACAACATCTTACTAATTGCATGCATTGCCATGCAAACTGTGTTTATACGTGAATGTGAGACAAGGCAAATTGATATTGTAAGGTTATCCACGGAAATGCTAAATTATGCATAAAAGACACTTGATGCAGGGAAACGTGTAGCTACCACTATTCAGCTGATACTCTTCACTTTGGAATGGGTAAGTCACTTTCATTGCGTCCTATAAGCGTCACTTTGCTATAAACAAATAAACACATAGTAGCAGATAATGAATATTCTCATTCCTGTTCATGGTCATTTCTGTTCATTCACATCTTCATTCCATTCCTAATTAACAGAAAATGTCAACTTCATCACTCGGGGCTGTCATAATGCATGTACAGTGATAGGTGAATAAGTAATGTCATGTTATGTATGTGATTGGCTACATAGGACAGAGATTCGTATTATCCACACAAAAAAAGTTTATAGAATGATAAAGAAAAGAATGGGGAATTTTGCTCTCAGTTCTCATAGTATTGTGACATCTTCATTATTTGTGTTATCTTGGTTTCCACGGTGAGACCACTGCATTCTCTTTCCACACTTCTAAAAAAAAGAAAGAGAACCATAACAGGAAAGGCACATTGATGTAAGAAAAAGACAACACAGAAAGAAGTAATAACAGTCCAAGAAGTGCTATGGCTGTAAGCACATTGATTCAAGCCCCCTTGATGGGAAAGGACTTCCTTCAGTCCTCACACATTCCGTTTTGGGGCGGCGACAGTGGCAATGGCCTTGACGAGGCATTTAAGACCACCTTCCAGACGGACTTCAACTCCTTCGCCACCCTTCCCAAGAGATTCGCCATCTCTCGCCCCACCCCTGCCCAGGTCGAGCACAAAGACCTGCATTGGATCAAGGAGTATCTGACGGAAGCGGTCAAGTCATATCCCCACCACCCACGGATCCCCCTCAGCCGCACCCCTGCTTGGACTAAGCTGTGCACCAACTTCCAGATGCATAAAGACCCCAGGCAGCTCAACTTCCTCACCACCCAGGCAGAGGGCTTCCAGCACCTGGCCTCATCCCACACCAAACCCATCCGGCCAGTCATGGCCATCAAGAAGAAACAGCTGGAGGAGAAGCTTCCTGTGACCACTCATAAAGCCTTGTTCACAGAATACAACGTGTCGCCCATTGTCAAAGCCAAGGTCAAACACCTAGGTCAGTGGCTCTATCAAATCTAGGTTATTGTCTAAAAGTAGATGCATGTATACTATATCTGTGATGTCATTCTCTTTTTGGATTAGTGAAATAGGTTAGGCCTATGCATGCCTATGTAGTCTATCTACAATGTTTGTCATTCACTGCCTGGCATATGGAAGCCTGGCATATAGCTTTTAAGAACGGGGGCACACACTTGTTTTGGATGAACCTTTATGCCGGGTGTGGTGCTTCAGTATACCATTACACTGACTGTACGTTTAAAAGAGTAGCTCTGTTTAAAAAAAAAGTGTAACCTTGAGTCAGATTGTGACATTGTCAATGCCTGTGTGATTCAGAGCGAGAACCCACCTTTAAATGGGACAGGGATGCCCACCACTTTGACTCCCACTACAAAAATGCATTCCAGGGACAATGGCACAGCCCACCTCAACCTGTGGAGAAGGTATCAATAGCCATTGATATCCTGGAATAGTTAGGCTACTGGGAAATTCTCTGTTTTCTGTACAGTAGCTGTATGTGAATAATGGAATCATGTGAATATTTTCTATGAATGGTCATTAAATAGACTAGCTATGAGCGCTAAACTGGCCTTTGATAATTATCTTACTTAATATTCATTGCTCCCTGTGGAGTACAAAGCCACAACAAAGCCACACCATGTCTTTGCTAAGGCCTTTGATAAGATGTTAATGAAATTTTGCTGAGGGTGTACTGTACTTTTCCTTCTCCGGTTCAGCAATTCCACTCCTCAGTGACAATGGGAGACCCACAGAAGATTCTGGAAACTGAAACCACCCAGGATGTGTCCTTTAGCCACCCCGGCAACCCTAGGTATGTGACTTACTGTAAGCATGCCAAAATTCACATCACCTCTTAAATGCTCCATCATCTTGTATTTAGAAAACGTGCCATGTTTTCCTGTTATAATAGCAAATGCCTGTCCAAATCATAATAAGCAATGTTTTTAAACATGTTTTGATATGTCTAATGTATCAACCTTTCATTGACCCAGTCCAGTCAATGTGAAGGAACGTTTGAAGGTCAATCTTGGGGATTTGTCTGAAAACAAATGGACATCTACTATGGCTGATGCGTTTCGTGAGGCCAAGTCAGGTGTGTAAGCCAAGGTTATTCATTAATACTCTGTTGGTCAATGATATAACATACTGCACTGTTAACCCTATGGATTTGATTGATTATTATCTATTTTGACTTCTATCTCACTGACTGAATTGTGTCAAAACAGCTAGCTCTTGTTGATATAATGTATTCATATATTCTATTGCAAAACAAATTGCGGGATTGGATATTTTCTTTTCGATTGCAATTTTTAGCAAATGCTACTGAAACAGCCCACAGACATAACGATGTATTGCTTCGCTCATGAATGTGCTACAGTGTTCTCATTCTCCTGCTTGGCTAACTCCCTGTATTGGGCCTGTTTCCCAGCCCCTGTTCTACTGATGCAAAGGAACAAGACTCTCAGCTCAATCCCCAGAGGGGACACTGATCCTGGGCGCAACCGACTGAGGATGATGGCCACAACCAATGGCTTTTTCTTCTCTGAGGTGAAACCCAAATCCTCCTATTTACCCATCTACAGGCCAGATTTGAGCAAAGTGTATCACTGGCTTCCTGGCCTTTAAATGGATCGAGGACATCCGTATAGTACCTTGCCATGCAGGAATGTTATGATGCAAAAGAGCACAGGTTTTATGGGAATTAAAACATAAGTTGATGGTAGGTGTGATAATAGTGTAATTACATGTAGGCCTTGTTGTCCTGCAGTACTTTTATGCATTTCCCATGTCTTTTCCATGCCTTGCGTTCTCTCACTTCCTACCTAGTATGTAAAATGTACTCTTGGGCAAAATATATAGTAGGCTGAACCAACATTCATATTTTATGGGTGTTCCCACATTAATAATTTTAATTTGCATGGGAGTGGCCTGCAACCTTGGGCAGCCCCATTGTTCCAACTTCACCTTTATTTTGACTTGCATTTCTGGCTACTTCCTAACCGGCCTGGTTGGATTTCCCTCCCCTCCGCAGCAGAACCACAGAGAGCAGCCGGTGCATTTCAGTGGAGCCAACGTGAGGACCAGGAGCAATGTGGAGTTGGGCAGACCCAGTCTGGGAGGCCTGTTCTACAGCACCGCAGCCCAGGAAGACTACCCCAAGAGGGACATAAATCGAGCTAGGCCGCACACCCATCCCTCTGGCCACGTGCTAGCCGGCCAAGGTGAGAGAGAGAAACCAAAACATCCTCAGATATCCCAGTCAGTTGAGTTCCATTCCATATTAATGGATTTTTTTTGTCAATGAGATTTATGGTATACTCCTCAGAGCCTGGACCAGCCTTGACTACTGTTCAAAGGGACTTCCTCCCACTAAACTCCAGGAGACAGGAACTTAGCCCAAGACAACTTCGTCAGGTATATAGAGTTGCAAGATTCTGGGAACGTTCAATAAATTCCCTGGTTTTCCCAAAATCACAGTTGGAAGATTCCCGGAATCAGGAGGGAATAAGCAGGAAATCCGAAATCCTCCAACCAGGATTTCTGGAATTTATTGAAAGTTCCCGGAATTTTGCAACCCTACGTATATAGTTAAGTAACTTAAGTAACAGTCAGCATTATAATTCACTGGTGCAGAAGTTCCTGTGCCATTGGAATTTAAAACCAATACTGCTGAGAGATGAGCAAAGTTTCTAGTCAATTATGGTTGTATAAATGAACACTAGAGGCCAGTATTGTCAATTATGCATTTTCCAACAAGCATTTGAGGGTCAAACTGACCTTTCTTCAGGCTTATTATGTACACATTTCACTTTATGTTCCCTAGACACACACAGCGTAATGTGTAATCTTTTTCAAATTCTGCCTGGAGATTTGTTGCCGCTATCAGTGCTCAAACAATACAAACATCTCAGAATAACTAATACGTCCTCAGAGAACCGGTTGTTCCCAAGAAACTGGTTCATGTACACACACAAGCTCTTTGCCCCTTTTGTGTGCACCCATCAGCAAGTCTCTTTCTCTCTCTCTCTCTCTCTCTCTCTCTCTCTCTCTCTCTCTCTCTCTCTCTCTCTCTCTCTCTCTCTCCCTCTCTCTCGCTCTCTCTCTCTCTCTAGATTAAATTCAGCCACATCACCGCTCCATACAATGAGCAACACTTCAGCACGACCCATAAGGAGGCTTTTGGGCCCAAGCATCTCTCCAGGACCTGCCTGGACAATCCACCTAGACAACACATTAGCCACATGCCTTTCTAAAGAGACCACAGAGCTGCCTTATCATACCTCACTTTCACAAATAAAGCATTTACTCTATACAGTTGAAGTCGGAAGTTTACATACACCTTAGCCAAATACATTTAAACACAGTTTTTCACAATTCCTGACATTTAATCCTAGTAAAAATTCCCTGTTTTAGGTCAGTTAGGATCACCACTTTATTTTAAGAATGTGAAATGTCAGAATAATAGTAGAGAGTGATTTGTTTCAGCTTTTATTTATTTCATCACATTCCCAGTGGGTCAGAAGTTTACATACACTCAATTAGTATTTGGTAGCATTGCCTTTAAATTGTTTAACTTGGTTCAAAGTTTTGGGTAGCCTTCCACAAGCTTCCCACAATATGTTGGGTGAATTTTGGCCCATTCCTCCTGACAGAGCTGGTGTAACTGAGTCAGGTTTGTAGGCCTCCTTGCTCGCACACGTTTTTTCAGTTCTGCCCACACATTTTCTATAGGATTGAGGTCAGGGCTTTGTGATGGCCACTCCAATACCTTGACTTTGTTGTCCTTAAGCCATTTTGCCACAACTTTGGAAGTATGCTTGGGGTCATTGTCCATTTGGAAGACTCATTTGCGACCAAGCTTTAACTTCCTGACTGATGTCTTGAGATGTTGCTTCAATATATAATTTTCCTTCCTCATGATGCCATCTATTTTGTGAAGTGCACCAGTCCCTCCTGAAACAAAGCACCCCCACAGCATGATGCTGCCACCCCGTGCTTCACGGTTGGGATGGTGTTCTTCGGTTTGCAAGCATCCCCCTTTTTCCTCCAAACATAACGATGGTCATTATGGCCAAACAGTTCTATTTTTGTTTCATCAGACCAGAGGACATTTCTCGAAAGAGTACAATCTTTGTCCCCATGTGCAGTTGCAAACCGTAGTCTGGCTTTTTTATGGCGGTTTTGGAGCAGTGGCTTCTTCCTTGCTGAGCGGCCTTTCAGGTTATGTCGATATAGGACTCGTTTTACTGTGGATATAGATACTTTTGACCTGTTTCCTCCAGCATCTTCACAATGTCCTTTGCTGTTGTTCTGGGATTGATTTGCACTTTTCACACCAAAGTACGTTCATCTCTAGGAGACAGAATGCATCTCCTTCCTGAGCGGTATGACGGCTGCGTGGTCCCATGGTGTTTATACTTGCGTACTATTGTTTGTACAGATGAACGTGGTACCTTCAGGCGTTTGGAAATTGCTCCCAAGGATGAACCAGACTTGTGGAGGTCTACAATTTTTTTTCTGAGGTCTTGGCTGATTTATTTTGATTTTCCCATGATGTCAAGCAAAGACGCACTGAGTTTGAAGGTAGGCCTTGAAATACATCCACAGGTACACCTCCAATTGATTCAAATGATGTCAATTAGCCTATCAGAAGCTTCTAAAGCCATGACATCATTTTCTGGAATTCTCCAAGCTGTTTAAAGGCACAGTCAACTTAGTCTATGTAAACTTCTGACCCACTGGAATTGTGATACAGGGAATTATAAGTGAAATAATCTGTCTGTAAACAGAGTAGATGTCCTAACCGACTATTGGACGATTATCCAGGACTCGAACAGGAATGGGTGACTGTAGGGGAACCAAAGGAATGTGTAATGCAGTGGCCAGTGCGCTATCTAAAAGATTCCCGGCAGCTCCGGAATCAATCAGAGCTAACGAGAGTGAGGGGCTAGGGTATTCATGGAATTTAATGGAAAAACACACTGGTTGAGTTGACAGAAAAGGAGAGAAGATCTTGCATCCTACTTGGGTTGGAGCAGGGGAATTCCCTGGCTTGTCTCCTCCTCGCCTATTAGTGGATAGAGGGCAGGTTGGGGAGGCCCAGATTCCTCCTTCTCCTACTCTCTGCCTCGGGCAAACGTGCAGAGCCCACCTGCGAACTCCGAGGCGGTCCTAGATCCCTGGCGTAGTCGGAGTAGACGCTCACCCCCTCTCGGCCCTTCACAGGATGATCAAACACCAAGCGGAAGAGGAGGGTGAAGCGCTCGTAGGAATCAACCTCGGGTCCACCTGTTTCCCAGACCGCGGCACCCCAGTCCAGTGCCCTTCCGGTCAGTGCCGAGATGACTGTGGCAACCCTGTCTCTCCCGGAGACAGCCTCAGAGTAGCGAGCGAGGTACAAGTCGCATTGCAGAAGGAATCCCTTGCATCTCGCTGCCGCTCCATCGAAGCACATTCCTCTCCAAAGGCAGGATGGTTGCCAGCACGCTGTCCATGGCGCTGCCGAGTCTGGAGAGACAGTCCTCCTGATGCTGGACTGTCTCTACGATGGTCGCCAGCTCAGCCTTTCCCGCTGTCTCCATTTTGCTGGGTCGATTATTCTGTCACGTAGTATAATGACTAGAAGACAGGCGCAGGAATACGCATTAGGTTTTTTATTACCCCACCCAACACAAGGTACGTCATGAAAAACGACGAGGACCAAGCCCAAAACAAACATATATGTATATATAACACAGGGATGTAACCCAAACAAAAGAGCGAGGTGTAAAACCTTTAAACAATACACGGGACGAGACCCGTAATAACAAGAGCACAATCCACTGTACTCACGAGACCAACGGACATGGGACAATAATCAACAAGGACAATGGGGAACAGAGGGCACATACAACTGTGGAAAAAATTAAGAGACCACTGCAAATTTTTCTTAAATCAGCATCTCTACATGTATGACAGCCATTCCATTCCAGTGTCTGTTGAATTCCAACACAGGCACACCTCATTCTACTGAATTAGGTACTGATTAGGTGATCACATGAACCAAATCTTATTTAACGAGGAAAAGTATAAAAAACACTGCTGTGGTCATCACTATCCTCTTGCAATAGGACCAGCTGGATGGCAAAAACAGTGCTAATAGTACCTCAAAAGTAATATGAATCAAAAAATAACTATTGACCATGGCAAAAGAGTTGAAAAGGAAAGTTTTGAGTGAGGAAAAGAAGGGTTCAATTCTGGCTTTACTGGCAGAAGGATACCGTGAGCGTCAGGTTGCTTCCATCCTTAAAATTTCAAAGACGGCGGTTCATAAGAACAAGGTCAAGCAGCAGACATTGGGGACAACAAAGCTACAGACCGGCAGAGGGCGAAAACGACTCTCTACTGACCGGGATGACCGCCAACTCATTCGAATGTCACTCAACAACCGTAGGATGACATCAAGTGACCTACAAAAAGAATGGCAAACGGCAGCTGGGGTGAAATGCACGGCGAGGACGGTTCGAAACAGGCTCCTAGGGGCAGGGCTGAAGTTGTGCAAAGCTAGAAAAAAGCCCTTCATCAATGAGAAGCAAAGAAGAGCCAGGCTGAGGTTTGCAAAATACCATAAGGATTGGACCGTAGAGGACTGGAGTAAGGTCATCTTCTCTGATGAGTCCAATTTTCAGCTTTGCCCAACACCTGGTCGTCTAATGGTTAGACGGAGACCTAGAGAGGCCTACAAGCCACAGTGTCTCGCACCCACTGTGAAATTTGGTGGAGGATCGGTGATGATCTGGGGGTGCTTTAGCAAGGCTGGAATCGGGCAGATTTGTCTTTGTGAAGGATGCATGAATCAAGCCACGTACAAGGTTGTCCTGGAAGAAAACTTGTTTCCTTTTGCTCTGACATTTTTCCCCAACTCTGAGGATTGGTTTTTCCAGCAGGACAATGCGCCATGCCACACAGCCAGGTCAATAAAGGTGTGGATGGAGGACCACCAGATCAAGACCCTGTCATGGCCAGCCCAATCTCCAGACCTGAACCCCATTGAAACTTCTGGAATGTGATCAAGAGGAAGATGGATGGTCACAAGCCATCAAACAAAGCTGAGCTGCTTGAGTTTCTGCGCCAGGAGTGGCATGAAGTCACCCAACATCAATGTGAAAGACTGGTGGAGAGCATGCCAAGACACATGAAAGCTGTGATTGAAAATCAGGGCATTCTTTGCATTATTCGAGGTCTGACAACACTGCATCTTTTTTGTTATTTTGACCAGTTGTCATTTTCTGCAAATAAATGCTCTAAATAACAATATTTTTTATTTGGAATTTGGGAGAAATGTTGTCAGTAGTTTATAGAATAAAACAAAAATGTAATCTTTACCCAAACACATACCTATAAATAGTAAAACCAGAGAAACTGATAATTTTGCAGTGGTCTCTTAATTTTTCCGCAGCTGTATATACACATCCTAATCAGGGGAAATGGGAACCAGGGGTGCGTAATGAGACAAGACAGTCCGGGGTTGGTGGTAATGATCCAGGTCAGTGACGCCTAGAAAGCCGGTGATGTAGACCTCCGGAGCTGGTGAACAGAATGAGCAGCAGTACCGGGGGGATCCGTGACACGTTTTGATAACCGTGTAAATCTCTCTAGGACAAGGTGACTTTTATCAATATATTTGCCTGTATTTACCCATGAAAGAATGTAATGCTAATTAGCTGCTAATGTGGCTATCATAAAGAACTACAAATGCCATGATGATCTGGACGAGACTGCCAAATCGAGGCAAAGGTAAGAATCTCTGGATTAACTATCTAATGTTAACTAAATGTAGTAATGAATAAATTGGCAACATTTCTTTAAATTGACAATTCTGTGAACTGTCTTGTGCAAGTTTTAAATTGACACTACCTGTTAGCAAAGGTGTCAGCTAGAGATGATGTGCAGGAGCTTGCAGGGATGTGTAGTTTTGCATGATGTCTACTTTTATGCTAATGAGTATGTTCAAATCTGAGAGAAAATACAGACGAATATATTGATAAGTCACGTTGTCCGAGAGAGATTTACAGTGGGGAAAAAAAGTATTTAGTCAGTCACCAATTGTGCAAGTTCTCCCACTTAAAAAGATGAGCGAGGCATGTAGGTACACGTCAACTATGACAGACAAATTGAGGAAAAAAAATCCAGAAAATCACATTGTAGGATTTTTTAAGAATTTATTTGCAAATTATGGTGGAAAATAAGTATTTGGTCACCTACAAACAAGCAA